TGCGACTATCAGTGTATTTGCTCGTGCATGTGTGCATGTGTGCATGTGTGCATGTGTGCATGTGTGTTCGTATGTGCCTACACGAGCTTTTATACGAACCGTGTACGTGTGTGCGTGTGTGTGCTTATGAGTATGGTGCATGCATGTAAATGAAGGTGTTTGTTCTGTAGTCAGCATTTTATTAACAATGTACCTCTAGCACTGTTTATAATATATGGAAAAAAACATTCAATTTAAACAATTTACCTTTGAAGGTTAATTTCTTTAGAAGGAGCGAAGTGTCGTACTAGAATCATTCTCTAAAACAACAAACAGCTTGACTTATTAGGTTTTGCATTGAGACATTCTAACGGCAAGTTTGATTATAACGAAGGATCTGGATGGCACCCAACAGGAAGAGAGAAGAAATGGGGGTCGCTCTCTATTCATGTTTGCTTATTGTTTTAATTTGGTCCATAGGTAAATTATTTCCTTAGTTTGTAGTCATAGTGATTTTTAAAATTGTTTTGTGTTTTGGTTTAGTTTTAGTGAAATAAGCGTTTTACGACGCTTGCAACTGCATAATGTCATATGAGCGCACTAAACACAAGTTGGTTGCATTCACAACATTTTACAGCACGGCTTGATTTTGTTAAGTGGTTTTGGCCTAAAAGTATGCGTTATTACGTTTAGGTGCCCAGCTTCGTTTTGTTTTAAGTTATTTTATGAAAAGGGACAAGGATTCAACAACATGTGACAACAAAAAAGGTGATACAATGTCTTATTGTCGATTTTTTAATGTATGTTTTTCTGCGTTGCTCCAAAATGCGGCTGATGCAGCGGGTGCTCCTCTGGCCAGTTCTAATTTGAGCATTGAGCGTGGCGTTCGGACGATTAAACATAATTCCTCTCATATTGTGTTCAGCTTTTCGCAAAATTTGAGCAGTTATTGATTGGTTTCTGTCGGTCATCGAGTCTGGTACAGTAGGTACATTGACTTCACTATGTAATCCCTCTCCCTCTCTCCCCATGACCTTGACCCACAGACGGATGTCACCTCTGAACGCCGCCGTCCGGCCCGCGCGGCCAAGGGGCGTGTCGAGAAGGTGTGGCGCACGGTGAGGTGGGCGGAGTCTTTCCCTGACGAAGCACTCGGAATGGACAGCGTCGACCTAACACCAACATTTGCCGGCAGGAAAATCGCTGCTCTTTGTGAGAGAAAGCAGTTCCAGGTAACAGAGAACGTAATGATATATTATTGTTAGATCATTT